ACTTTATAAGTAATTATACTTTCTTTTCTCAGATTCTTTTGATGAAAATAACCCAAATGTAATGAGGAAACTAGTGTTGCTAGAAGTTTACACGAAACTGATGTGCTTGCAACTTGTTCAGTTGTTATGTTTGGCTGAGGACAGCAACACTGTTATCATTTTGCTTGCCAACCACGCTACTGTGCAGTTTTGTATCAGTACTGAATCATACTTGTTTAGCTTGTATTACATAATTTTCAAATGATTTTACTTATATTTTCCTCATAACCCATTAAAATCATTGCTTTATGTTTTTAACTTATATCTCTCCTTTTATATAATATATTTTGTTCTGGGTGTGTAGTCAGGTATAAATTTATTTATATATATATATATATATATATATATATATATATATAGAGAGAGAGAGAGAGAGAGAGAGAGAGAGAGAGGGTAGACACAGAGAGACAGAGACACAGAGCGAGATTTTAAGAGTGTCATGTATTTCTAATTTTCTAATCTGGAAACCCTAATCTAAGCACAATTTCAAACTTGGCATTTGTAAATAAAATCTAAGTCCAATATCTGTAAAAAGTCAGGGTTTGATTTTACACTATGTTGATTTTATAAACAGGACCCCCTTCTAAATTGATAAAAATCAATATTTTTCAATTCTAAAAAATGCTGTGTCTTTACAAAGTTCTAATGAATGCCAATCTACAAAAATTATTCACTGAATAATTTTCTTATTTTTTATGTATGGACCAGTCTGTTTAAGTAGTGCCTTCTTATCTTTGCTCGGATTGAGGAATCAGAAAGCTGAGTTTGAATTCCAGTTGAATCCATTGCATTCACTTATGTGCTAATACCCTTGGGAAAGGTGTGAATCTTCTTCTTCTCCCCACAGCTATGGGTAAATAGGAGAGACCAGGTTCTGTAGCCTTGGATGGCAACTTGTCTACTGCAGAAAGAAATGGCAAAAAAATCTGCCTCGTCAGTCATGTATTGAAAGATACATGATTGCCTAAGCGTGTATCACGCATGGCACATAACTGACTGCTTCTATGTAATATATATATATATATAGCATGCACATTGTTTGTTTTTGATTTTGTTGGTCAGTTGGGTACAGTCTGTGAGAAAAAAGAGCACCATGATGCAATTTGCTCGGCCAGAAATTTGGAAATAGCATGCTGTACTACTTGGTATTCGTGCTGGAAGCTCCAATACGAACATTTCAGTGTTTGCGTGTCAATCTGTGGTCAGTGCAAAGAATTCAGAAAGATTTGGACTTATCTTCTTACCTTTTACAGTATATTATATACAAATTACTGGCTCATGTCAAGATTGACTATAGGAGGCTTATTTCTCTTCTCTCTTGTCGAGCTCTCTGCCTCCAGGCAGAGAGGAACCTAGATGAAGCTCTGCTGAAGGGTAGAGTCTCATTTGGGGAGGTAGACAAACCCAACCCCATGTATACAGGGTCTACAGGCAATTTTTGTCCAAGCCTATGGGCTTGGAATTCCCCATGTTAAAAACTGGCCTTGTGCCACATCTTGCCTTGTGGGGAGTTTGGTAAATAGACAGGTGTAGCTGTTTTTTTACTGTTATTTCTTGGAAAGGAGTTTTGCTAAGAGAAAATAGTTTGTCCAAGTGATCACACACTCCTCTATTAAACATCATCACATATTAGTGATTAGACATTTTGTATAGATATCTGGCAATGTGACAGAGTGCAGAAAGAAATACTTTAATGCCTTTCCCAAAGGCATCAGAATGAATTGAACATAAAAGTCCTACAGTCAGGATTCAGTCTTGGTTCACCAATTCTATTTCTTGTGATGATAACCATCAAAACCACACCTCTTTATCTACAAGTAAATTATGTATACAAATATGCAATCTATATAAATATACACATGTATGCATGTAAGTTTGTGGGTTTATGCACAAGTAGCCCACTGATGAAAAAAAAGAATTTACGTTACTTAACGAATATTTATATTTCAATATAGTCACCTTCTTGGAACCAAAAACATCTCCATCAATCAAACAGATCATTTAAAGATTTTATTAGTGGTACAAAATTTAGTTAAAGCAATTAAACAGACATAATTAAAAGTGGCAAGAGGAAAACTTCAACTAAAGTAGGTGTCAATATGAAAAGAAAAAGATAAACAGTTACAGAATGAGCTAACCAGTTAGTGGCTCAGTGATTCTCAACCACTGTGCCACGGCACACTAGTGTGCTACCCAATCCTCTGTGCTGTGAAATATTGTTACGGCATACATATATATGTGTGTGTGTGGAAGTAGTAATGGTACAGCATTAGTATTTGAATAAATGAATATGTATTTAATTGTATTTCAAATAGTATTTTTTCACTATTCTCTGATTATGTTATTTTAAATACTTTGTTTTAATATTCATTTTTTAAAAGTATTTTTATCTTTTTACTTTAACTTTTAAAAATTTTTCTTTATTTGATTAAATGAATATTAACCATTTTTTCATATAATTGTATTCAACATTCTTTGTTTTTTATTAATTGATATCACCCCATGTAAGGCAGTAAAGCCACTAAAACACAAGGAGTTACAGAGTGTGGAAGAATTAAGGACACAGACACTTATAACAAGTAGACAGAGAAGAGTAATCAGGAGGACAGCAGATAGCGATGGACATTGCATTTAAATTTTTGGCTGGAAAGTATGGAGTTGGAACGGAGTTCCACAAGTGAGAAGTGCAAGAAAAAATACTGTTAGCATAGAACTTATGGCTACATCTTGCCAGCTCAACTGAAATTTAAAAAGTCTAGGTGTCATAGCAAAGAGCTCATCTGAACATTTACTGTGAAAGTATTTATAGAGAGGCAACCTTAAGGTGGTGGGTAAGTGACTGAAGCCAAGCCACCAGAACAGGACCAATAATATTGCTGATTCTTCTTTGGATCTTATCAAGGAGCTCGAGGTAAATAGCAGGGACACTGGACCATATGTGGCAGCAATATTCAAATATGGATGAATGGTAGACGTAAATATGTAAGATAGATACTGGAAAGAAAAATTGTCTAGCACGACATAGTGAACTGACTTTCTTTGCAGCTGACTTAGCAATGGATTCAGTATAGTCTTTCCACTTCATGTAAGCTGCTAGTTCTGAGTAGATGCAACAAATCACTTTCCTGAAGGTTAGCAGCAGCCATGCTGATGGAGGGCAGAGAGGAGTCTCTCAGATGATTAATGGAGAGTTTTGTTTTGGAGGCATTAGAATTAACAAGCCATCTTTTGCCCCAGGTAATGACAGACTTGAGATCTTTTTGGACATCAGCTGCCATTTTGACCTTGTCGAACTGATCAGTATTACTATTGAGGCAGGAGTAAATAGTTGGGTCGTCTGCATAGATGTCAAGTTGAGAGTTAATGTCATCGGGAAGGTCATTAATGAAAATTAAAAACAGAGTAGGAACAAGGATGGAGCCCTGGGGGACACTCGTATTAGTACGAAAGGATGTAGACAAGTGACCATTCAAGATATACTTTCATTTCACAATTTGATAGGAAATACTGGATCAGTTCAAAAATTTGTCCAGAGACATTTTTGCAAAGTTATATTGAATTAGGAATTAATATTTTCAAAGTTTCCAATATGCAGCATTAAGTATTTCATTTAATAATTTTCTAATTTTTTAAAAGCATTTTACTCTGAAATTTGTATAAAATGAAAATGACATTAATTGTACTGAAATTGTTATTTTTTCATAGGAATAGTTAAAGGAGGGTAGGTCTTGAGTGGATATGTATATATCAATTGACTAAGGTTATGGTGGTTACATTGGGAGCCTACTGGGCATTGACAGCTGACCTGTTTGCTATGATTCTGCCCTAGTTGTTTATGAGTAGCTTTCTTAAAGTAAATATGGTAGCTCAAGGACTCATCTTTTTTTCTTTGGTGGCAACATTCATGATTGGCTTCTTTTATGTGGTGTTTTATATTTTTTTGAAGGGATTTGTTTTGTGGGCCAGATGTGATGCTTGGAGCTCCTGCTCAGAGGACAACATTTTTATTTTTGGTTTTGCTTTCTTAGCGTTCACATCCAGCCAACATGTAGAATGCATCAGAAAGAGATCTAATTTGAAGCAAGATATAACTGAGGAGTGATAACCAATTAGCTCCTTAAATAGTATTATTTTTTTGGTATTTCCAAATACTGTAGTTGTGGTCCCTTTTAATTATGCATGTTCTTATTGCATTAAGATCAAGCATTATACAGTGAAAATTTCAAATCAAAATTCAACTGCTTGAGCTATAGATTTATTGATCAAAATTTTATTATTATGTACATTATTATACATATTTATGTAATTTTGTATTTGTATAGTATATGTGTAGTCCTGACTTAACACATAGAAAACTAATAATTATGTATAAATTCATAAATACAAGCAATAATTAATATTTGTTTATATTATATGCAAGCAAAAAGCAAAGAAATACAGTGTACTTCTTTTTTTTTTTACATGCCATGTCCCTATAAAATATAGGCAATCATAGCTCACCACAGCTTCCCTTTTTTATCTTTATAATATATATTATATATTCTTTGGAAATATGACTTCCTATTTCCGTCTCCACAGTTAACCTTCTCCTAGACTAGTTGCCACCCAAGGCTAGAGAGCCCAGTCTATTCTGCTATTTAACCTATAGATGGGGAAGATAGAAGAGATACACACTAATGTTTGGGACACTTATGCATATATTTTAATCAACTAAGCAAAATAATTTTTTTCCAAGTTACACATCTTGGCAGATGCTTAATTTTTTTTTTTTAAATATACGTTTTAAACTGTTAATATGGCCTAGCTAGATTTAATTTTTTATTTTATTTCAGCCGCTGCAAAAAGAAAAGAAAGTTTCGTTTTTCAGTGGAATCAGTTCGTGGCTTTATTGTTACCGTTGGTCCATCAGCTAAAAAAATGTCAGCGTTCGTAACTTAATGACGGAAAAATTACTTTAGTTTATGTTAAGTGCGATTGATAAGACCTTTTTGAATAGAAAGGTAAGTGAGGTCCTCATTTGATTTGAATAATGTGATCAAAATCTTGATTTATTTCTTTTTCGTAATTTGGTCTGTTCAGATTGACTGAAAATATCATTATTTTCATTCAACTAAGTGACCGCTTGAAAGAAAAATGCCTGTTGCTCTCCAATGTTTGTTAGTTATACCTTTTTTTAGATATTATTTTTTTCAATATGTTCTTTTTGGACAGAAGTCATTATTGACTATATATCCCTGTTAAACATTTATGCAATTAATAAATACATTATATTCATGTGTTCTTTTTTATTTGTCTCATTTCTGTTTTTAGTTTATTAAATCAACGTTGCTATGTTAAACTGTTTTTTGTTACTTTGTGTTTTTAGTTTATTCATTACTTTTTAATTTCAAGTTAATCTTCAGTTTTTTTACTACTTAAAAAAAAATTAAATACTTTTTTTTTACTCGATTTTAAATGAAATATTTAAATATTTTTATTTTTTAATTATTTCCTATTTCTTATTCATTTTAATTTTAAATATTTTTAAATGAATGTAAACAAAAATCTGAACATGCAAAAAAAGAAGAAAAATCATTTAAAAATAATATTTTTTAAGCGTAAGTGAAGTCGTATGAAAAAATAGATTAATAAAGAGATTTATATTAATAATCGATTTATTTTAAAAAAATTGTACTTATTTTTTCTAATTTTGTTTAGTTTCTCTTTTAGACTAAAAAAAAATTAATATTTTCACTATTTTAATATGGATGAAATATTCTTAGACGACTTATTGTTTCACTCTAAATACGTTTTTGGGAGGTAAGTTCCTAAATAAATATAAATAAATGTTTTGATTTGATTGCCAAACTTGTAGAATTTTATTTTTCCTTTTTTTTTTTTTTTCACGTAACTAAAAGTTGTGTGCTTCTAAAATCCGTTACCACAATTCGAAGGTGTGTCAAAGTCAATTCAAAGCTGTTTGTAAAATCCGCCTTTTTTGTTTTTAGGCTCTTTAAAGAATTGCACGGTTGTTTTGTAAAATTTGTCACCGAAAAAAAAGTTGTACCTGTTTTTTTTTAGTTAAAGCGTAAAAGAAAGATTTATTATGGAATATGATTTTAAACTAAAGGAAAGCTAAAGGCTAAAAAGTTTTAGGTACCTCCACTGAATTTTAGATACCTAAGGTTTAAAATGAATTTTTAAAAATGAAAAAGCATTCTTGAAGATAAAAAAAAGGGCTTTCTGAAATATTCCTCATACTCGGTTACATACAAATGAACTCTGAGATAATCAATTAATAAGGTCGTAAAATAAAAATGTCAACTCATTAAAAATAAGGAATTTTTGTTAATAGGTCGACTTCTTTCCCAGATGAACTAAGGTGATTTTCTAGGCATAGCTTAGGTGTGGCACAAGGCCGAAAATATTGAACACCCAGTGAGGATCGAACTTGCTACTCAGTCGTAATTGTTCTAGCGAGACAAGCTTGCTTACCATTACACCACTTCGAAGTGCCCTTCCCAAATGAGCTAAGGCACACTCAAATTTATTTTGGTACTTTTATTTATTCATTTACATGCAGACGATTTAGACAAATTTACTTAGTTATCCTTCGAGCTGAGAGTATCAAACAAACTCACTACTATCATTATTATCATCATTATCTTATGCTTTCTTATATGAGTTAATTGATAAGACAATCACCTTTTTTAAAGGTAGTGGATTAGGATTCTTTTTTTTTATTTTAAATAAATTTTTTATCCTATTGGAGTGAGTATAAGTTAAGTATCTTCTTTTACAAAGACTACCACTACAATTGGTTTAGTTCTGTTGGCAGAAAAAAGTTATAATTCCACTACTGAAAAAAAAACACATTAGCTTAACTTGAATTCTAGCCAAGAAAATAGAGCTGTCTATTCTTTAATCTTGTATGGGTCAGTCAGTGCACTCATGCATTTATAAATTTTTGCAACGCATATGTTATTTAATATAAACTAGTGTTCATAGGTCTCGGTGTTATTGTTCACTGGTGTAGAGAATGGGATTGCATGCCTTAGGTTTTTTCCATATGCCAAGTTTATGATGATTGTTATGACAAATTCATCTAGTTGAGGAAAAATTCCAACATGAACAATCTTTTTCCTTAAATGTCAACCTTCATGGTCATAAGATCAGCAAGATCTCTCTGTGTTAAATGATGATTTCAAGTTGATTGTCATGTGCAGAAGATTTTTATACACTAAATAATATTTTGTCATGCAACTGGTTTTCTTATAGCATGTCTAAATATTTTTTAGTACGATGTCTCTTCTGGATGTAGACGATCATGGCTTTCTGCAGTTTCACTTTTTAATATCTCTGAATTGCTATGACTATTCTTAGAAAAAAAGTGGAATGATTTCCCACTGCATAGTATTGAAATTAGAGTTGTTCTGCTAGAATGATTGTCCTAGCAAAATTAGAGAACCCAGTCAGCCTTGCTATTTACCTATATTTTGGTGGAAAAAAGATGGACTCATGTCTTCCCCAAAGATATTAATGTAAAGTGAATACAACAGCCTTAGCTGGAATTTGAACTGATATTCATTACACCACCTGCAGATCCCATTAAACTAGTGATTCTGAATGCACAGTATAGAATCCAAGGAGGGGCCAATTTGAATATTTTTGGAAGCAATTTGAAATCTCAGAGAAGAGTGAAAAGCATTCTGTGTTATATCTTAATTCTAAAATCCTCAGATTTAATTTGTAATTTTTTAGCTCTCAAGGTGGAACATGGAGTAAAAAAAAAAGGTTTACGAAACTGATTTTTATTCTACATATTTTAATTTTAAGAATTATTAAATAATGTAACTAGTATGATGAGTCACATTCACTGGAGGTTAGCGTCATCCATGCTGATGGAAGGCAATAAGGATTTTCTAGGGAGATTAAAAGAGAGCAGTTTTGTTTTGGAGGCATTAAAATTAATGAATCATTTTTTGTCTAGATTAACAATAAATTGAAGGTAATTTTTTTAGATCGGTTACCAATTTAATCTTATTGATCCTATCAGACTTGCCATTAAGACAGGAATAAATAGTTATGTCATCAGCCTAGATACCAAGTTGAGAACTGATAACATTAGAAGGTCATTGATGAAAGTAAGAAACAAAGTAGGTCCAAGGGTAGAGCCCAGGAGTACACCTGAATTAATGGGGAAAAAAATCTAGTTTTTTTTTAATTTTCTGTTCTTTCATTATCCAGAAAAGTTGGTTGCCACTGACTTGAAAGCTTTCCATGCAGTTTTTTCTTTTCTCCTATAGTACTCTATCAAAAATTTATAAATGTGGGGGACCAACAAATTTGCCTTCCTTTATCTTTGTTTCACTTATTCTGGGAAATTTTTTCTGTGCATACTTGAATGTTTTGTCCATAGTCTTCACAAAATTTTTTATAAGACCAAGCTCCATGTGAAGAGGTGTCAACAATTTTTTTAACTCAACTAGTGGTGGATGCTGAACATTTTTCCTCCCAGGTTCCAATGATAGTTATAGTGGCCAGTTTCTCTTCATGTAATGAGAACTTCTCTTTCAGCTGTCCCATTTACAAAGATAATAACAGTACTTGGTACTTGCAGTCCTAGCAAGAGAGCAACAACCTTAAAAGTTGCCAGTTATCTTGATCAGTTGATACATCTCAGTAGTTGTTTCATATTGACATGAGTTTCTTTCATGTGGACTGCTTGACCAACTGAGATTGAAGGTAAAACCTTATATAACAAGACAGCTTTCAGACTTGAATCAATGAACAGTCTCCATTCCTCAGGATTATAACTGAAGTTAAGTGATTGCATAAGACCACTGATATCATTGCAATACACTAAATCACCTTCCATAAGAAAGAATGGAACTAGATCCTTGTAATGATCACAGAAATAGGAAATTTGCACATCACCAGCTAATACATTTCACTGCTGTAACCTGGAACTTAAGTTCTGCTTTACTCTTAAGAAGTTACAAATCTCTGACTGTCTTTTAGGTCTCTTTGAGTTATGAGGTGTTGGTTCATAGATAGACATTGGACAATAATCTAGCTCATATAAAGTTCAGGCTCTAAGATTTCATTGTCTCCCCCATCATCTGACTCAATTTCATATGATTCCAGAGTTTCTGAAACTGGTATGTCTTTATTATTGGGGACAGGACACAAAGCTGATGGAATGTTCGGATATTACACTGTCCATTTCTGCTTCTTTGACAATCTGTTAGCAATTGGAGGCACCATGCAGAAGTAGGAATCAGTGGCATGATCAATTGGCTTTCTCCAAATCATGATCACTACAAAAGGCATTTTTTCTTCCTGGTTAGCCATTGAGATTTGTTGCACAGGTATTACAGGATATGTGTGGTGTGAACTTCTTATCTTGGTCTCCAATTTTGCATCCAAAATATAGTTGGTACACTTTTCTCACAACAGGTGTTATATTTTGCTTTTAAGATGATAAAATCACTTTGCTATATATCCATTACTCCACTGTGTCCCCGGTGGAGTAATGGATATCGGCTCAGATTGAGGAATCGGTAGAACCGAGTTCAAATGCCAGTTGAATCCATTACATTCACTTACGTGCTAAAAAACTCGAAAAAGGTATGAATCTTCTTCTTCTCCCTCCAGCTTGGCACATAACTGACCGATATACATAGAAGTTATCAGATTTGTTCAGACATTCATGTGACATTTTTCACATGTCAATTAAAACCTGAGTGGAAAGGAGAATAATAATTCGTTTATTAGAATGATTATATATAATAAGGTTATTATTAGGAGAATAATAATTCATCTGGCAAGGACAACAACATTGATGAACTATTCATATTATGCTAGTACCGTATCTTGAAATCTACTTCAAATTAACAGTTTTTGATATCATTTTTATTTCCAGAGCCCCAAATTAGCTCAGATTAGCTATTTTTGTTTTTGAATCTTTTAAGTTGTAGGTCAGTGTATCAAAATCAACAAAATTTTGTTTTCAACATTG